TCCCAGGGTGCGGCCCTGCTTGCTTCCTTCCCACTTGGTGGCCTGGCAACTGCCCCTTCTGCAAAGGTCCTAACTCAGTGATGGCGAACCTATGACACGCGTGTCAGAGGTGACACGTGAACTCATTTTTGTGGTTGATTTTTCTTTGTTAAATGGCACTTAAATATATAAAATAAATATCAAAAATATAAATCTTTGTTTTACTATGGTTGCAAATATCAAAACATTTCTATATGTGACACGGCACCAGAGTTAAGTTAGGGTTTTTCAAAATGCTGACACGCCGAGCTCAAAAGGTTCACCATCACTGCCCTAACTCTTCTGGGGGAGAGGGGCACCCAAAGGGAGCAGATGGGGTGGCTCTGGGCCCCACTCACGTTCGTGATCACCCGCAGTTTCTTAATGTAGGAGGCCTCCGTGTGCAGGAGCTCCCACACCGCCTCCTGCTGGTGGCACTGCCTCCGGGTCAGCTTCTGTGGGGAAGGAGGGGTCAGCCAGGAGCCGGGTGCAGGACAGCCAGGGAGCGGGGAGGGGAGCAACCTTGCATGTAACCTCCTTTTCCCGGTAGAGACTCAGGGGTCCCCCAAGTTCTGGGCCCTCCTCTACCACTAAGACATCTAAACGGCACACTGTAATTTCATTTTGCCTCAGTTTCCCCAAAGTGGGTTAATGATGACAACAGCTTCACAGGGCTGTCCTGGGAACGTCCTGTCACTGGGTGCTCAGAAGGGCCCCACGAAGTGGGGGGATCATGTTGTCCTTTCCCCGGAAGAGGGAGGAGGCGGCTGTGGGTGGCACCCACCTCATGCCCATCAATGAGGTCCCGCCAGCTGTCCTCCAGCCACAGGCAGGCATCGTCCTCATCCTCTTCCTCGTCCCCCTCCTCCTCCCACGAGTCATGGTCGAAGCGAAGCCTCCGGGGCAGCCGGGGCAGCCCAAAGAGGCCGTAGGCGTGCAGCTTGCCCTCCAGCTGCTCCATCTTGTCCACTTCCTGGAAGGAGACCAGCGTCAGGGTCAGGGTCAGGGGTCAGGGCCAGCTGCTGCCCGGCCCCAGGGCTCACGGGACGACATACCCGGCCGAAGACGCTGGCACTGGGGCCCGAGCTGAAGAAGCCGCTGAAGCGACTGGCGGCGCGGTTCTTCCAGCTGTCATTGCCGCCGCCGCTGCTGCCGCTGGGCAGCGAGCAGCTGGAGGGCGCGGGGGGCTCCTGCCCAGGGATGCTCGCCTCTCCCAGGAACTCTGACATGTTCTTGCGGCGGCGGCCAGGGGCCTGGCCAGGGAGGGGGGTCAAGGCCAGCCCTGCCCTGGTCCCCACAGCCCCGCCCCATGGGGGTTTCCTGGACCTCGGGCCAGGCTGTGACGTGGGAGGGTCTCTGCAGGACGTGTGGGTCCCGGTGTGTCACGGCTCCCTGACCCGCCTGTGCTCTGGGGCCTGGAAGATCTAGACACAGATGCACTGGGCCACTCCCAGCCTCCCAGCCACAGCGCAGAGCAGGCGGGGAGAGAACAGTCACACACGCAGTTCACTTAGAGCACAG